TGCTAAACTCTTTTATTTCTTATACTTCTCGCTTGTGGAAATCTCTACCAGCCTTTTACCTTAGCCAACTTTAATGTTCAAAAATTTAAGTATAATGTCAGTAGTTATCTTCTGTCTTAATTCTTGTTCTTTCATTATTCTCTCTACTTACTAATGTTATTCTTTTTTTCATATTCTTTCATACTCAGTAACCCCTTGCATCTTAGTGGCTTTATTGGGGTGAAAAGATTAAAAACTTTAACCTATTGTTCAACACAAAATCAAAACACTTGTAAGATGAAGTATAGTGTTTTATTTATTCATTATATTGTATTATTTTTTTTGTTTGATTGTGGGTAAAGGCACAAAAGATTACTTACTGGGAAAATATGAAATTTAGCTCATGTAAAAATTTGTCTGAAAATCTTTCTTGTAATAAAGTCAATGTGTTTGGTTTGATTTCCCTTGGCTATTAAACATCAAACGACATTTGTTATTTTACTAAGATATGCCTTACAGGGTTTATTTGAGAAGAATGGATTAATTTGTTTCAAGGCTGTCCTAGAAGCCTGTAGGCCTACCACAACAAATCTGATTTGAATTAAAATCATTTTAAGTTACATTTAGTATTCCCATGATGTGTATTTCTTTCCAAGCCAAGAATATATTGAAAGAGAAACCAAAAAGTAGTATCCAAATAAAAATTCTCTCTCTCTTTCTCCATATATATATATATATATGTATTAAATGAATTCTATGCTCTTGCCATCAATATGACCTGTAGGAGTTAAGTTTTCCAACGCCTCCTTCCTTATTATGTATCCAAGGAATTTTGGCTATCTCTTTTTGATTATGAACGTATTGGTCAAAACTGTCTTTGCCAGATGTGAATAATTTTCAGTATATTTTGGTAAATACACACACACACACACACAAAATAACTGGATTCTTTTTTTAAATTTAACATTTTTTTATTACTGTAAAGATCATTTTAGTGGGTACAGTAGAAATGTGTTTAAGTAGAAATCCCTATTTTTTAGTATTTTTTTTGTAATGCATGTCTCATCAAAGCATGAAACAACTTGTTGACTTCAATGTTCACTTATATATATATATATATATATATATATATATATATATTATATATATAAACAGTGATAATTAAATTTTTACCAAGTATAGATAATATATATATATATATATATATATATATATATATATATATTTAATTAATTCATCGAGTCTGATAGAAACCTCAACAGAATGCAGAAAGCACTGGACGGCCGTTTGTCCTATATTTGGGACTCATCAGCAGTGCGTATCCACTACCGAGAATTGAAAACCCTGACAGTTAGGTTGTTGTTTAACATCATACCAACTGTTCCAAATGGGCCTTGGTGAGGAAGAGATTCCAAATCAGACTCAATCCTCCTACTAATTACTTATATATATATATATATATATATATATATATATATATATATATATATATATATATATATATATATATAAAAAAAAAAAAACATACACCCAGTTCAAACACTATCTGATTAGTTTTTCTGAATAATTATTCAAATGAACATTTCAGGATAGTTTTGAGAAATAAAATAATTTAGGAAATAAAAATAATTTAAAATAAAGAATAAACAAATGTGAGAACTGGTTTTGATTATAAAACCATAAAAAACATTCTTCATAGAATGTAAAGCAGAAATCAGTTTTCCTTCCCTGTTGACATTTTATTCACCTCAATCTGTCATTTAATTCTCTTTGGTCACAAACTTCATACATCATTAAGATTTTCCACCTGCATTGTCACCAACCTGTCTGTCCCTGGCTGAAGAGACCAGGAGTAAAAATTAATTTATGCAAAACACATGGTTCTTGTATTAAAATGTAAAGAAACTTAAGGAAATTTGCAATGAACTTTCAGTAATTTTCTTTATTTTGTTTTAGTTTTTCATTATATTCCATAATTCTATCATTTATGTTGTCATGGTGTTGATATTCAGTAATGGCCAATAAAAAAGAATAATTTTCAAAGTAGATTTTAATTTTTTTTTATTTATTTATTTTTTTTAAGTACTGGTAACTAAAACTCTGTAACTTTAAAAATAAAGATTCTCAATGAAAATTTTAATAAAATATCTTATTTCGAATTTTAGCATATATTGTTTTAACATTAATGTTTGAATTATTGGCAAATTGTAACTACTCGAGTGATATGCATATATTTTTTTTATTCAATTATCTAATCACTTTTGGACTTAAGCTATCTTTTTTAGGCTTCTATAGGATGACAAACAATTACTAATCATAGACTTTCATATTTTACTTAGGCAAAAAACAAATGCAACAACAACAAATTAATGTTCTAATTAAAACAATTATTAATTCTGTTCTAATTAACATGACTATAAATTTTTTAAATCTTATTATTCCACACTGTGTTTTCAGTACAAGAAAAAGTGGTAAACTTGAATAAATGAATTTTCTTTAGAGTTCTCCTTCATTGTTTCAGGCTGGTTTTGATGCTGGGAATGGCGCAGCGCACTATCAAATCAAAGGAGCTCGTTCTAACCACGTGGAAAGTATTTTACATACCAGCAACGTTGACAAGCCTGGCAAATGGGTTTTTAGGATTGACCTTGCTGAAATTCAGTTTGAACCTTGTCTTAATGGTGAGTGTAATCCCCTGAACCCAACCCTTTATATGCACCTCCTTTTGATATGTTTTATCAAAGCCACAGTCTCTTCTAATGAAATGAAGTTCATGCTTCAAACTTGTAAAAATGGCAGCCTGGGAGGGAAATTGTTGCAGTGAGTTATCTTCTCTTGGAATAGTGTTTCTTTTACTTTTTTTTTTTTTTTTTTGTTTTCATGTTTTGTTGTTTAACCTTAGTTTTGTTTTTATTTACCATATTTTGATTAACTTGTCAATTTTTTCCATGTTTTTACAGTTTTCATTGTTTTATTTTTTACTTCTTTAACTGATAAATTTGTGAATATTTCAGAAGAACCTCTCCTTTTATCCATCTTTCGAGGTGCAAAATGACAGTCACTATTCCATGAAATATTCACACTTGCTTTCTATCCCAATATTTTGATTGATGTAATTACTGACATTTCTTTTGCTAAAATTGAATTTCTGATAATGTTTTATCATTCCTCAAATTTATTTAGAGGATCAGAAATAAAGAATCTATTCTTTTACCAAACTACAGGTTAAATAGTAGGGGAGACTGGGTTGGCAAACATTCTAGAACAACAAATCTGAATTCAAAATCTGATCACTATTAGATTAGAATTACTTATTTAGTGACCATCCACCACAGTGAACAGTGATAAGCTTTGTTAATTTATGGACTAACATAATTATAGGAATTAAATCCTATATATATTTTTCAATCAATAAAATTCTATCAGAAGGTTTGTTGGATAAACAATAATTATTAGAGCAAATACGACAAAATACTTGCAGATGTCTTTGTAGACCTACCACATGTTATTTTTGGACCATTTAGAAAATAACAATATCTTTCAGCACACTATCAAATTCAAGAACAAAATTTTTGACAGCTAGTATGGAATTATTTTCTAACTAATGTAACCTTAGTTTCAAAAAGTTCACATCTCTATTAGATTTTGAATCTCTCTTATGGATATAGCAATAGAAGCATACTTCTTCTCAAGGCACAAAACAATTTTGGAGGCCAGTTTGATCTATACGTGCATACACACACATGCACCCACTAGAAGAGAGACAACCAGCAGCACAATAGAAATGATTAACTAGCAACTGTCTACTAAACATTTGTCTATGAACTCACAAACATATTAAGATGACTGTCATAATGTAAGTTTATTCACATATTTCACAGCTCCCTAAGAACACTTAATTACTTTATGAAACAAATCTCACTGCAAGGAAAATTGAACATTTTATTGTCATTGTATATTTCTGAAGAAAATATATAAATGTTATTTCAACTGATGTCCTGCTTTTACTTTTCCTCAAGAAAATACCCTTTTTATAAGTTTCATTTAAAAGTTGTGTTGTTGGTAAATGTTTGGAATCTCAGCACTCAGATAGTGACAAAAACCTGGGTAGATGGATCCCAACATATTCACCTGTCCATCAAAGAAATTCATAAGCATTTTTGTTCTGTTAGGATGAAAGTAACAAGATGATCAGTCAGTATGTCACTATGCTTAGCATAATCATCCGAGAAGCACAATTTTGGGGATCAATTTAATGAATAAAAAAGAGTTAGGCTTTTATTTAGGGTGAGAAATGAAAAAAAAATCTGCATTTATTCAGCAGAAGACTCTTGAAATAAATGTAGCAACTGTGTCAGCTACGATATATTTTTTTTTTTAAGGATATTCAAAAGTACACAAGGCCTGTCAGGAAATGAATCTGAGAATTCTATTCATAGATTACCAGTAAAACAGGAATTCTACTGTTGTGGAAGCAGCAGCCATCTTACTGATAAGTGTCCTTTTAAAAATAAGAAATGCTTCAGATGAAAGTGTAACTGACATTGAAAAGGCAAAATTTAAAGTTATGTTGCAGTCACCATCCTATAAACAATCATAGCAACATTTTATATTTTAATAGTGGTAGAAATTTAAGTTAACCTGAAAGACATTGCATATAATTTGTATGAGATATATAATTATAATGGGGGCATGGCTGAGTGGTTAGAATGTTCACTTTCTGACTATGAGACCCAGGTTTGAATCTCACCATGGTTGATTTCTCAGGAGGGGAGACTCTCTGATGTTATCAGTCTGGAGGGGGATGATCCCAGTGTGCAGCACCTCTTGTAAAGTGCCTGAAAAACCATACCGTGGGTTGACCCAAGCCTTGTGAGTGAAATTGGGTAGATGGGACACTTAAAGGCTGTCAATAGCTGTGCTAGCACAAAGTCATTGTGACTGAGGATTTGAGCATGCTGGTCTTGTTCAAATTGCTGATCATGCTAGATAACACACTCTCTCCCAGAAACTATAACTAAGGTCTACTCAGCATAGTTGCAGTATAAACCATAGGTTGGCTCTGTGGGTGTTGAACAAACACAAATGTAGATAAGCGAGCATCTGCAATAGGGATTTGCTAGCCACCCTAGTAGATGGGTATCATCGAATATGAGTGGCCAGCTATTATTTATTATATATTATACATATTTGTTGTGGCGAGCGAATTTTTTCTTTTTCCTCCATTTGAGTACGAATTCCTTGTCACCAAATATTGTTGTGGAGTTATTTCACAGTGGAGACTTGTATTTGTACTAAGTCACTCCTAAAATAGGTTTGACGTACAAAACGTTAGGAACTTGATATAATTGGTATTACGCAGAGTAATCTAGTTGTGGTCGCTGATACTTTCATATTCGACTGTCGTCCGACATTGACTCACTGACTTACTAACTGACCCCGTTACTCTTACTACTCCTACTTATTATAGGGGGGAGAGTCTATTAACTATAGAATAGGTGTGTTCCACCATAATAATATTATAATAATATTATAATAATATTATAATAATATTATACATATATATGTATGATACATATATATTAGGCTGGCTTTATTGTGTGAATAAATGTTTCATTTTTGAATTATGGCTATTTTATGTTTTGATAATTCAGGCTCATTGTACAGTAAAATAGATGATTTAATACTACCTGATAATGGATTTTTTTTGTTTGCATATTCAGTGTTAGATTATTAATAATAGTAAAATTCAAGCAGTGAAATTGTACCATAATTTCAAAATTAAGTGCCCAAAGTGTCTATAGTCTATAGTAAAAATTTGAAATCTTTTTATGGGTGAATAAGAAATATCAATTTTACACATAATTTTAATTTAAATATTGATGAATTTTTAAAAAATTCTTTTATTTCAATAGAATATTCTCTCAAGTTAGAATTTTTTATCTAAAAATTAAGTAAAGTTCAAGTGACTTATCTGATTAGCAGATTCTAGTTTTACATTAAAATGCTAATCAGGGCCAGATGTTTGATAAATCTATCAAACATCTGGCCTTGATGAGGATTTATTGATTTATAATATTGAATATTATAGTTCTGGTTATCTACATAGATGTGCAGGATGCGATGAATAAATTGTCATCTAAATTACGCAAAAATGAAATTAACACTGACATCTCATTTTAACAGATATATTTACCAAAATTACACAAAAATATCTTGAAATACTACAGAGTAAATTCATTCAATAAAATCGCCATTGGTTTCAACCACAGCCTAAAGACAACTTTGGAATCTCCTTCATTTTTTCTGAACAGTGTTCTTGTTTAAGTTGGTGAATGCTGCCATAATCCTTGCCTTCAGTTAATCTATGGTGTTACAAGGAGTTTTGTAGGTCTCTCGCTCAACTGTGCTCCAATATTAATAATCAAGGGGGTTGCAGTCTGAGCAGTTAGGGGGCCAGATGTAAAGGGTGATGCGGTTGGAGAAATTGTCTGACGGCCATGACTGGGTCCTACTGCTTGTGTGGTATGGTGCAGAGTCCTTTTGCCAGATACAGAGTCTTCCAGAAGCCACTCTCTTCACCCAGGGCAGCACTACCTCCTCAAGGCACTTGATGTAAGCCTCTGTGTTAAGTCTGAGGCCCTCACCAACAAATTCAGGAGTTCTGTTCATATCAGAATGATCAGAGCTGCCATACCTTCATAATCACCATTAGACTTATCCAACTCTTTCTTTGTCCTGGGTATGGTAATAAACTACATCCGTGTCCTGGGTACAGTGATAAACAACATCCAACAGCAAGGCCTCAGATAATGTTTTCAGAAAAATAATGTTGCCAGCTATACGTTTTTGAAACAATAATGTTGACAGCTATACGTTTTTGGAACCATAATGTTGCCAGCTATGCGTTTTTGAAACAATAATGTTGCCAGCTATACGTTTTTGAAACCATAATGTTGCCAGCTATATGTTTTTTGTAAAAAATAATGTTGCCAGCTATACATTTTTTATTCCATACAAAATAGGCATTTAAAATTCATATAAACTGGATTTGGCATTAAATAACCCACAGTGGTTGATATGCCATAAAACACAAACAAACAAACAAACTCTTTCTAAATCCTCTGCATTGTCTTCAGATTGACACCCAAACATTCATCATGTGTCATGTTGCTCTTTTTCTCACAGACGGAGCCTAACTGACCCTACTATAGTGTGCAGATGACAAAATTAAAAACATAAAATGGTGACAATTTACCCATCGCACCCTGTATTTTCTCACTTTTATTATTATTATTATTATTATTATTATTATTATTATTATTATTATTACTAGTTTTAACCTGGGAAAATTTCAGTTTTCTTATTTTAATATTCTGATGAATCTTAATTAGTGATTGAGCAAGCTAATGGCATGTTCTACAACAATAAAATATCCATAGAAATTCCCCTACTGCATTGTTAAATATTTGAGCTTAACAACTTTAACAAAATATTGCAATAACAATCATAAACATGAATGCTGGTTGTTATTTTAAGAAGTAAGGGGGTACAAATGAAAAACTTGTAATTGACAGTTTTTCCATTTCTCTGAAACAGCCATTAAACACGTCTATGTTCCCTTCTATCTTTCTTTTTCTTTCATTAATTTTATCACTGAAACCAAGTAGTGTCTTTCCCC